GGGCTCAAAGCACCCCGCACGAAACTAATCATCAGGTATCATCTCACAGCAGCTGCTCTCGGCGTATAGGCGGTGCCGAGCCTGCCATTGCACCTTCTCATTCGTGCGCCCCTTCTTTCATGGTCAAAAGGAGGGCTGTGCCAACAAGGAGCAACAGCATGCCTTCGTCCGGACGCGGGCTGTGCCTTGGAGTTAACGATGCGCTTACACGCACCCGTGCGGGGGAGGGCAAGATTCTGAATGGGCCAGACATGAAAAAAATTCCCGATAGAAATACTTCTTTGGCTAAGAAACCGCTAGATACCCTTGAACGGCTGGATAAACTAGAACGGAAATCCAAACCATTCTCAAATGAGAAAAACTTTAGGTTGCTAAGAAAACTTCAGAAATGGGTTCAAACAAAAAATCTCCGCAAGGAAAAGATATTTTCAGACCCTACTTCTCTGCAATTTTCAATTTTTATTAGCGCACAGTCGCACAGTTTGATGCAAACAGTGGGAACTGTTCAGTCTGGAGAGGGCATTTTGTACTTTCGCTTGTCCTTTTGTTCATGTTAAATAACAGGTCTACATTTGATCAAACCTGTAGACTCGTGTGAAAGTGTGAAATTGCGAAGTGAACCACTTTGGTCACAAGAATTTGCAGGTCTTCATAAGGTGGCCCGTAAAGCCTTGCTCAGTATTACTCGGTGCCCCCACCAAGCACGGCAGCTGGGTCTCGGAGCATCCCTTGCAGAAAAGGTAACAAAACATTCTGAAAATTCCTTCTTTGTTGGATCCCTCACAATGCGTGAAAGGATACTAACCCCTACTGGCAATATTAATCGTTCCGGTCCGAGACTAGCAATTAGACGCGGTGAGGCCAAGCTACAAGTAGCTATTGCTTGGCCCAATTTTGTCCAAGTCGATCGAAATAGAGACATGCGAGATATGAACAGCCGTGTGGAAGTAACTGATGGTAAGATGCAATCAGTACTGATGAGGACTTTCGAATGGCGAGGACCTGACTTCCGTGTGACGGCCTCTCCCCTTCCACTTCATTTCACAATTGCTGTAGAGCGATACGGTCAAGCTCGCTCGAAATAAAGTCCTTGCTCCCTCGCCATGCGCAAATACAGGCCTGTGTACTCTCGCCAGTGTTCTGCACGCTCAATGTCTCTTAGTCGTACGGTCGTGGTATAGTAAAACAAGCAGGGGTCTTATTTGGAGTGTTCGACGGTATCTTTTTGTGTTCCACCCGTTGGTGAAAACGACACACGCCCTTCGCTTTTTGAACACGTCACACCTTGCAATCGCGGACTGCGTTAAATATTTTAGTAATAATTCATAGTATTTGCATGATAGTTTGAATTCGTTTGACCCATTTCTGAAACTTTCCTAGCAACCCAGAATATCACCGCGCTAACCGCTAACCGTAAAAATAAATCAACATTTACAAGCTATACACATAAATACACACGGATATTGAGCAGCGATGATCTTGGACTAAATTTATTTACTAAAAAACATACAGTCTTGTTCTGCGGGTGGAACGTGTCAGGAGGAGGGGGGACTGGGTTGGGCGCGCGGTCAGTTGATAGACAACGGTACGGCAGCATCTCTAACTCAGCCGGTTTCCAACAATTGCTCTCGATTACTTCCTTCAACAACTGGTGGGGATTGGCACCGAGCCAATCCACTCCGCTTAACATAGCAGCGAACAAGACTGCACGTGAATAGGAATGAATACCTCTAAAATACTGATCATCGCTCTACTTACATTCCGTCATCGCTCTCGGCAAATACATCATCCACCTAGCATATTGGGTGGAATCGGGATCACTCCCACTCCCACACCTCCTTCATGAGATCCAAGTGGTGTTGACAACTCCCATTGATCCGTTTCTTCACGGTACACTTCCATTGAAGAAGAGGTTCGACATGCCGTCATATCTGAAATATTCCACAGAAGTGATTTTTTTCAGGGAGGACGTTTAAAAATGGACAAACCCAGCGATAGCATAAATGGAATTTGCATTCGATACTAACGACACACGGCTGCGCTTGATGTTCATCGGTGTCACCGGAGACCATCGCATTGTCACTGGATCAAAGCACTCAACGCTGTTCAGGAATTGGGCACCATCGTATCTGAAGCAGTCAAATACCTTTGGATTTTAACGGGATGCAATTCCACAATAATTGGTTGGAAGGGGTGGCGAAGGAAAAACACTGTGCCTTTCTCAATGGCGCTCCTTCTGTCTTCGGAGGTGGGGAAAAGGAAGTGCTCATCAATGAGGTGATCTTCTGACTACTCCCATGCGCGAAATGTGATTTCAGTAACAATAGCTGTTCTTGCAGCAGAAGTGCTACTTCAGTACAGTACTTCCTACTTTACCTAAATTGAAACTCACCCTCCACACACATAAATTTTGCCATTCAGCGTCGCCGCGCCTAGACGGCACCGTTTCGATAACATCGACGGAACGGCTTCCCACTGTCCTTTTTCAGGCGAAAACCGTTCCACTGATGAGAATATCGACATTCCGTCGTGACCGCCCATCACTGCAAAATGGATTATATTCGGTTTTGGGTCCACACACAATTCAAATAGCTGTTTGAACTTTGGGGTCCGCAATCAAAAACTGCAAGGTCTCTGCGTGTCAGGGAGGTGGGTTTGGCGAGGCGCCAGCCCATTCTTCACCAGTTGTTAAAGCGGGCTAGCGACAACAAAAGGTAGAAAACGGCCTGGCGCAAACCGAGCCCCTCGACGCGCCCAGTGCAAGACTGTAAGCGTCACATAAACCGTTTTCACTTACCGTATAAATATCCATCAAGGACGGCCACGCCAGCAGCACTTCGCTGCTTCGTCATGGATTCCCCTAGCTCCCATGTGTTCTTCTCTGGGCAGTACACCTGAATCGTGAATGAAGCTTACAAAGAGACAGAAGATGTTTCAACTGGGCCAACTTTACCTCCACTGTTGCAAGACTTGTTATCCCATCATAACCACCGCATACGTATAGCTTATTATTGAAAAACGCAGCAGCAAGAGCCGAACGCTTCTTCGTTAACGGTGCAACCTCAAAAGTTTGATATATTACTAAACTTAAGTTGAAATAATTTGAACTTTTACCGGCGTCCACTCGTTCTTATTGTAGTCATAGGATTCAACTATCTTGAGGCGATCATGACCATTGAAGCCTCCAATAGCGTATATCTGGAAGAAAGAGATAAGTATAGATAATCATTAATGTGTATAGTAAAATGATGCAAATGGTAATACGTAGGCCATGAACAGCCGCAGTTCGGCTTGACGGAGGCCCACCAATATGCACTTAGCGACGCTGTAGGCCTTACATCATGAAGAATGTTAATTTCGTAGGCCTTTTATTATCACTTAGCTGCTTCACAAGGGTTTACAGGCCTTATCAAAGTATGACCTATATCGACATGAACTAACAAGCGACGCTGGCGGAAGTGCAAGTCGAACCCCGGCCCAGTAACTGTATTTTAGGAAATACGCGATAGCCCTGTACTAGTAGAACTTTACCTTACGATCATGCACAGCTATGCCGACTCTGGACCGAAAAACTAGTCATAACGAACTGGGCGGTTCCACCTTTTTGTCATATGGATCCTACATTCCACTGTAGAGAGTTCGAGCCCACCGTAGTTTGACAAACCTCCTGAAAATAGCCTCTGAAGACCATATTCATCAAAACATACTTACCAGCATAAATGATTTCCTATTTTTACTAGATACTATACCAATAGTAATTTAACTTTACTCACCGATTGCAAACATCAAACCAGGGACGTCATTGCAACAGCGAGCTTTCGTTCGGAAAGACCTCAAAATATGAGTCGCCGTTCTGGGATGAGATGATAATCCTTCGCCTCATCCACCTTACAAGGAAATTTTACTCTTGATACACTCCATAAAAAAGATTTGTTTAATGTGACCCAAAAATTAAAGCGGTACTCACAAGGTCTCTGCAAGCCAGATCTCCTCGAACCAGCTGATGACTAGCTACTTGATCTGCCAAGAACGACGGTTTCAATTAGAGAGAGGCGGACGCAAGCGAGAAGTCTAGAGTAAATGCAAATAAGAACAAAACCGAGATATACCAGTAGAAAAAGTCTGATTCAACTTTACCAGAAATTTCAAAACTCGCCGAAAGGT